AGTTCAATAAATTTTGTTTCAACTCGGTACAAAGCTGTGAATTCAGAGAAGCTATAAAAAGGAGTAAATGGAAACACGCAATGGATGTAGTGCCCAGAAGGGTGAGAGGCTGAAAGTGTGATATTTCGGTCCTGAAATGTGAATTAGGCTAGTGCAAGAGGGCTGAGGATGTGTCTATAGTGATATAGAGAGTGAGTGAAAAACACACACACACACACACACATCTCTATATCTATATATTCTATGCAGTAACAAGAAGTTCTTGGAGCTATTGTTTGCATGCAGGTATGTTCCAAATATCATAGTAATCACTTCCTAGTGTTTCATCAGTCCAATTGGTGAACTGTTAAGTTTCATAAATGTGCAAGTTCTGGTTTGGCTTTTGTTGTTTGTTTTGGTTAGTTGATTTTCTTTGTTTATGGTAGGGGATAGTAACTTTCCATTTTTGTAGTAATATAAGAAAAAAAAAACCACCACCCTTTTTTTTTTCAGTATTTCTTATGGATACATTAAAATCAAGGTTACATCATTAATATTAGTTTAATCGTCTAAGATGTAACTATAACTATAAATTAAGGGCCTTATTTTTAGATGAGCTTTTGCACTTTTTTAGCAGGTTGTGTGTTTAGCAAGAAGTTGCCTTTGGATACAAAACAAGAAAGTATTTAAATACTTCAAGCAGTTATTGCTGTGTGCCAGAACATTGTACTATTTACCTGCAGTTAATTTAGAGCATGTAGTGGTGTTTAGTCACTGCGTAACGTAGGTAGGTGGAAGTAACATTTTGTGTTACCCTGTGCATGTGTATTATAAACTTCTGTAAAAGTTCTTCTAGGATTGTGTAAAGTTATGCTGCTGTTTGGAGGTTTCAGATTGCTTTCTTGCTTGCGCAGTTAAGAATTTACTCCTCATTTGTTTATACTAATAGAATTTGTGCAACATAAATGCAGAAATACATGCAGTACATTTTGTTGTGTGTGCTTGACTGAGCATAAACTGTTATTTAGGGTAGCCAAACAAGTTGGAGAAGATAATTAGGAAAGAAAGATTTCTTTTAAAAGATGTTTTTTAACTTCAGGAAGTTAATGACTGTTCTGAAGACTTACTTGGATACCTCTAGCCGAGGGGAGCAATGTGAACCTATCCTAAGAACTCTGAAAGCACTGGAATATGTTTTCAAGTTCATTGTTAGATCAAGGACATTATTTTCACAGTAAGTACCCAGGCTATTGCCTTTTAACTAGCAGTCCAATGTCAGAAATAGAAGTAGACCTGAGAAGCAGAAAAAATTAATTCCAGAGTACAACCAAGTTTTTTGTGTTTATGAATAGGACGTAAAAGCTGGCAACAGGCCTAAAATACAGTCACTGCTGAGATATTTTTTGGAGAGGGAGTCTTCAAAAATCTGCTTTCTGATTCACAGTGTAAGTTCCTGAGGCAGATTTGGTAATAGCAGCTGATTTCAAAGGGTGATTATTCTTTGTGTCAAGTGGCTTGGCCTAAGACCAATGGATGGCCAAACATTGTGACAGATGGCTTGAAGCTGGATGCTTGTCCGTGAGATCATGGTGTTCAGCAGCTCAGACTGCACATAGAACAATGTAATTTTCAGTAATCTTTGGCCAACCAAACTTAGAGTTTCATATTTCCAGTTAAGGAATTTATAGGGAAGACTAAGTGGACTACATATTTATAGCTCAGCCAAGCAGATGAGGCATACTATTTAGAAGCAGTATTCAGGTTTAGGGGAAAGGGAGATGGAGAGAATGAAGGAGATGAAAGCTGGAAGGAGAAAAACTACACTATGGTAACTGTGTCTCTCCACGTCTGTCCTCCCCTAGCCCTTGGAGACTCTCACCATATCAACAGACCCCATCTACATCCTCTGTTTCCTCGCTGCTTCTCTGCTTCATCTTTTTCCATTTATCCTTAGCTGGTTTTCCCCTAAGACCTCTTCTGTTGTCCCTCTGCTACATGGCTGAAGAAACGCAGTGGCAGAAGATATGCAGTGGCAAACTCAGGACTATAGATAGACCGAGTGGTTGGATGTTATGTTTGTAGTTGGCAGTCAACAGAACAGAAAATTGTTCTGTTTTATTTGTCTTTTGCTCAATGAGAGCTCTAATACGTTTTTTTTTTCTGCTACTCCACTGCCCATTTTTCACAAAAATCCGTGTAGATTTATAATTCTGTAAAATGAAGTATTTTTGATGAATTATGAAATTTTAGTTGAAATAGGAGTGGATTCAGAAGTTATTTGCTGCTGGTAGGGAGTCCCCAAGAAATATTCTTGTCTCTAGGAATTTACTATTTATAGATGGACACAGATAAACAAGGTGTAAAGCTGTATAAGGGAGGAGGTGGTGCTCATGAGAACAGAAGATACCTAGTAGTTCAAAAACTTTATTTTAAAATTTTTTAATAGGTGTCATGGCAAAAGGGGACATCTAGAGTTTGAGGAAGGAAGCATTGTGTAGAAGATTATGGAAAATTTCTTGTATGGATGAAGGTCAGAAGGCAGGGTTTTGTTGCAGGGAGAACTTTGCTCTCCATTTTCATCCCTAGTATTAGCTGGCAGCAAAAGGTGTACATTGGTCAGTCTGTGGTAAACTAGGTTATTGCAATATGTTGCATATTCAAGCGATTAGCTAGACGTATCAACTCCTTTTAGTTTTCCCTATAAATGCCTTAACTGGAGGTCTGAAACTGAATTCGGTTGGACAATTATTATTACAGGCAATAATAACTCTTGCAAACAGTAGCCTCTGGCAAAAATAACCAAACTGAACATCTGATACTGTGTATCTGTCTATAGCTGTTGTGATATTTTTGCAGTCAATTTTCTACTGTCAGACTGGTCTTGAAAAAGAATAAAATTTTGGAAAAAAAAAAAAAGGATTAATATGTTTTCTTCCCATGCGAAAAGTTAGCATTTAGGATTGAAGTACTTCACTTTCAAGGGTTGAGATTAACCTTCTTGGAGACAAATATTTTGAATTAATAGAGCTGAGACATCTTTACATCATTCTTTCATTAATTTGGTGGGCTGCTTAAACTAATATGCCTTGTTGAAAGGTAAGAGGTATTACGAAGTAAAAATTGTGTAGGAGAGAGATGAATAATGACTTCTAATGTTAGATGTAAAATGGGGAGACTTTTTTTAATCTTCTTGTCAGGCAGTTACATTGAAGATAACCAGGTTTCAGTCTAATTTGCATTCATTCAATCCTGTTGAAGCTATGGAGATGTAATGAAAGCAAAATTTTTTTTTATTCCAGTCGGCTGAACTAAGGTTCTGTCTTGCAGCATTTGTTCAGTGACTATGTTTTGTAGAAAGGTCATATGTATTAGGCCAAGGTTTACGTAATACAGACTCTGAAAACATTAAATGTTTGATTTCCTCCTCTCATTGGCCTAAGATGATTTTTAGTGGTGAAATTCATGTACAGTGTTGTGAAGGTGTTTCCAAGCAAATAATTCATCATCTTTTAAAATTTGCTTTCAGAACAAGTGATTTTAACTGAAATTTAACACAGAAGATTGTGCCTAAATGGAAGCTAGATGATGAGTTAGGAAATAGAATTGTCATTCTACCTGGCTTAAATTAGTCCTGGTATAAATTTAAAAAGCATGTTTTAATACATGTTGTGTGATGCTTCTGCCTTCTTCCTTGCCCCACAGGTTTAGTCAAGAAAGCTTCAAATTTCTACTTGCATTAAAAAAGTATGTTTAAGAAACTTCATTTATTTTTGCAGCAAAATTGTATAGTCAGTAAAACTGTATCAGTGCGTTGGCCAAGTAACTTTACTAAATGCTTAGACCAAGACAGTCACATTGTTACAACTTACACGTACTTCATTCCCATTGAAAAATAATTTAAGTAGCCCCCACGTGCCATAATCTCCAGTATGTGAGAAAAGTTAAATCATTTAACCAAAAACCGAGCTTCAAAAATACCGCTTGATAATAAATAAGATGACTTTTCTGTGTAAATGTACTTGTACTAAAACTTGTTTGTTTCAAGCTGCCTTTCACATCTAAGTTTCTCTGGTATGCATTTTTTATACAGCTATCACACCTCAGTAGGGACATTTATCAAGTGGCATGCATCATCTATGTTATATATGTGTGTATATAATTTTTTTCAGGAAATGAAGAAATAATGGAGTGAGCTTAATTTAAATACACTTTTTAACTTTTAAGCATCAAGTAGAGGCTTTTTTCAAAAAGCAGCCTGGTTAATGGGGACAGTAAAAATAGCCATTTGAAAAACTGGCAATAACAGCAGAAGAAAGAAACAGTGATAATATGTAAAAAATATCCTGGAGTAGCTCAGTTTTAGTGACCAAAAAAAATATAATTGTATATAAGTCACTTTTAAACTGAAATTACTTTTTTTATAAGATCTCATCTGGGAGATGTCATTGTTTAGAGGCTTTTAAAAAAGTTGAAAATGCTTATCTTCTGTTCAAGCTGAAGAATTTCTTCACAATACAGTGAGTAGCAGATATAACCCACTGGTGAAATATCTATGTACATAATACTGGATCAACTTACAAAATGTATTTTTAAGGTAGTGTTAAATCTGGTACATTTAGGAGTATGAAACTTTCCCATTCTGAAAGGATAACCCAGTGCATCTCTCAACAGATTATATGAGGGCAAAGAACAAACAGAATTTGAAGAATCTATGAGGAGACTCTTTGAATCCATCAACAACCTGATGAAAAGCCAATATAAAACTGCTATTTTGTTGCAGGTTGGTGTGTGCTTCGAAACAAGTTAGTTTGAGTTTTTTATATAGTTTGAGTTTGTGGTTTGGTTTTTTTAATTATCTTTAAATTGAGGAAGACAGTCTTAGGAAATTTATCCTTTGTGTCCCTTTTGTAGTTCCCCTTTATCAGAAGATGAAACTGTCTAATGAAATTTGAAGCCTAGGTTGAAAAGGTCAGGAGAAGATACATTTGTGTAACTTTATGAATGCAGTGAGTGAAAGAACCAAAACACAGATGCTAGAATCTTTCAAGGAATCTAATGAAGTGAAGCCTCCAGTGGGAACTGAATGTTGAATTGTTTAATTTCTTCAGATAATGCTAAACGGGATTCCACCATCTTAGTTTGAAATGTAAACTTTATAATGTCAGCCTTCTAGAGGTATGTTATTTAAAAGACTGAAAGTAGGATCAAGATTTCCCATTCATATCGGTCTTAGTTATTCTAACACTTTGAATCTGCTATTTTAAGAAAACTAGAAAAGAAGGAGCTATTAAGATCATTTTTATCAAATAATTGATATGTAGTTCTGTACTAAAATAGAAAACTATAAAGGCTTCCTATAAAGTAGGAAGCAGAAGATTTTATTGGACAACTGCAATATTGATGCTTCATACATTCTTTATTATGAACTCATATTTATTTGAGCTTGACTTTTCTTCTGATTTTGTGTTTTGATTCCTTTTGCTATGACTTATACTAGAAGTGGAAGCCAGTGAAAAGTCTCTGTCTTGAATAAATCCTCAGGTGGCTGATCTTGAGATTTATATTTTCTGACACTTTGCATGGAGTGTTAATGTGCAACTGCAAAAGAACTAAAAAAGTTAAATGCTACTTTAATTGTATAATTCCATGATTATAGTAATGTTCTAAAGGCATTTGAAAATCATTCAGACACTTTCTGTTGCTATTTGACAATTCTGTAGAGGCCTTCCTGGGAATAGTTGATACATTTGAAAGAGACTGCATCGAAGCAAGAGAAACTTTGGAAGAAGGAAAAAAGTCTTTAAAGTAATACTGAAAGAGATAGTTTATATAATAATGTTTGGTCTTGTGGTACTTGTACTGTATTAATATGTTAATTGACAAATAGATCTTGGAGGCTTTTGTGCTCTTCAGGAGAGGCATGTTGTGTCACTGCGTACCTGCCTGCCGTAATCTCAAAATTGTTGTGTGGGCTCGTCCATCTGTGTTTCCTCTAATGAGCAGGGTAGTTTCTTCTTGAGAGTGACAAGAAATAGTTGTAGAAGACTCTTTTGCTTGCTGGGACACAGTAATGGGCTTGCAAGTGGCAATGCTGACTCTGAAACAGCTGATGGGTGTTTTTAAAAACAGGTGGTATTGTAACACTAATGGCAGTAGGGCATTGGATGTACTGGTGAATGTTGGTCATGCTTACTGTGATTCCCATACTTCCATATTTAATGCTAGTTCTTAATATTACACCTGTTTAGCAAAAATATAGTCTGTCTTTGCTGATGCTCTTAAGAAATAGCAGAACCTTGAAAATACAACTGAATATTTCTTAGAATTCTTTGGTTTAGTCCTTCTATGCTAATTTTAATGAGCATGTAAACATATTTCAAAGATAGTCTAGCTATTGAACAGTTATGCTTTGCTCAATACGATCTTAAACATGAATAGTTTGGGTTTCTAATGAGTGTTGTCAGTTGTGAAAAATGGATCATACTTATTCATAACCATGAAGCACTAGTGGGCTTTTAAGTATCTAAATCTGCACCAGATGCTGTAAGTTTTCTTTTTAGCTGAAACACTTCAGGGCAGATCTGAGATACTGGTTTATGTCATAACTCTGCTGTTGTCCCCACTACTGATAACTCATACAGACGTTTTTTCCAAAAGAAAAAAAGGTTGCTTTACGTACAGTAAACAAAAACTACTGCATTAATGTTATAAAATTCTAGTAGGAGAGGCATGGTATGAGAAGTGGCCCACTGTAGTTTAGTTCATGCTGCTGGAAATAAATTTATCGAGGGGTGGGGGGGGCCTCTGGAACCGAAGCCCACTCGTATCATAAACTCCATAGGCATGTCAGTCATAGTAGCTTTCACAATGGTCAATATGTTTTTCTATGACTGCTTAGAGGAGAGTTCAGTTGTCATACTTGAGGATCCTGCTTTGGTAGGTGGGCATGACTTGTCTATAACAGGCTAGAAAAATGGAGATCATTTCCTGCATTGGGTGAGATGGAGCAGAAAGAGATAGAAATAAATTTGCAAGTCTGCCTCTGCCTAAAACTAACACTGATTTCCCTCCCCCTGGCCCCCATATTAAGTTTGGGGATGACAGTGATAGATGCTGTAGTAGTACAAAGTTAACTTTGCAGAGTAAGGGACAGGTGGTTATTCAGAGATACTACAAACACACAGGACTCCATAGGTGTTACACTTTGCATACCCAGAGGGGAAAGTTAACAGAGTCTGTTGGAAAAAAATAGACGAATAATCAGAATATCAAAACAGCCTTAAATGTGTCACATGTGAAATTATCATTGATATGAATTAAACTGCAATATAGATTGGTAGGATCAATCAAATGAGTTCCAGTAGATTACACTCTGAAGATACCAGAGAAGAAAGTTTTAGGAGCTTTGAAGAAAGTTAAAGTAATTGGGTTTCTCAGGATATTGAAACTTAAAATGAGCTGGTTTGCAGAGCCTTGGAATGTGAATTCTTAATTCTTATTTCACCCTTGGTTGTCCAAACACCTATGGGATTTAGCTTTAGAAGATTTAAAGAATTATTTTGAAACTTGAAATGCCTGTTGGTCTCTGCTAATGATGTTTTTAAAAAAACAAAACCAAAAACCAGAAAACAAACCACTTGGAACTCAGTGATTTAATCAGTAGTAATTTCCCAGTCATTTTTACTGATAGTGATCATACTCAGACTTGTGTTGAATATTAATTATTTCAATCAGGAAAAGATTTTTTCTTTTTACAAAAATACACGTCACGTGAAACACACTAATCGGTGCCAGAAGCACTTTATTGTTTAAATTAAATTTATCTTCTGAGTGATATCTTACTTCCTAATCTGTTACATGCTGTATAAGTTTACAAAAATTTAAAAATCTAGTTTTTCTCTCTTGTTCTAAAACTGACTGAAGTGGATAGATGCTTTGACGTATTTTACTGCCTGAGAAGGGTAGATATCTGGTTCTGTTTTGCAATACTATTCATATACACTTTGAACAGCTGAAGACTGAATTGTTAATTTATTGTTGGTAAACTGGAAATTTAGATGTAAAACCAAATTATCCTTGTTTTTTTTACTTCTGGAAGTGGTGGGGTTACCTCTTTTGTTTAAAGATACAGACAGAATGCTTTTCAACTTCAGTATTGCATGAGATCATTTTATTACAATTAGGATTATAATTTCAATATCCTAACTTTGCTGATGTTTGAAAGCAACCATATGAACTGGAGAGGGACCTGTTTTCAGGTCCTGGGATGTTACTTTGTAAAGAAATTGCCCCGTGTGGTTGAGGTTGGGAATGTTTTAAATTCACTAGTACAAGTATCAGTGTGCATGTGCAGGGTAAGGATTCCTCCTTTTAAGAGACTTTTCATAGATTATTTTTTTTCTTGTAATTATTTAAAACAGTCCTTTCGGAACTTGTACTGACTTACTGGTGATGGCAGTAGACTTAAACTTTTTAAAAATTTATTTTGGCAGGGAAGATGTTACAGCTCTGTTTCATTTATCAGTTGCTTTTCTGTAGCTTTTTCTGATTAATTTTTGTAGTTTTTAGAGATAATTTTTCCTAAAGTCTGTATTCAGGAGGATAGACTTTGTGAAACCTGGAAATAAATTTTTGGAACCTGCAAACAGTTTGGTCAAGGAAGAGTCTGGGGGTGAGGGGGAGTAGGGAGATGTCAGTACCTTCTTTACTTTCTCTTAGCTCTCAGGGAAAAAAAAACCCATCATTTTCTGCAGATATGTTTTGTATCTATGTAAGTTAACCTACATAACTGGGGAATAAAATGTGATTAATTATTTTTAAATTTCAGATTATGTGTTTTTATAAGGTCATACTGTTGATGACTGATTTGTAGTCTGTGAGTGTGCCCTTTCATTGACAAGCTTGTGCTCTCAACATTAAATTATAAATCAAGCTGTAGCTTCTTTTCCAAAAACTGTTCTATTCCCCAGTTGACACATCCCATTTGACCTACAGATGGTCTTGTCTGTTGCAAATGTCAGCTATACCCAGCTTGCTCCTAGGCACTCTTTTTTTTTTTTTTTTTTTGAAAAAGTAATACTCCCAATTCTATGTATGCTTTCTGAAAGCCTATATGACATATTCTCAAGGACATGGAAATTTAGGAAGAAGAAATTCTGTAACATCGAAAGGTATGAAAATAATGTAATATGAAGATGCTACCTTTTTCCTCTCATTCTTTCCCACACGTTTTTGGCGCATCCATACTTGTGTAGTAGATCCTAAGAACTTAAAACTGTAGAGAGATGCATAGATTACTTATGAAAGAATAAGGCTAGGAAGGTACGGACAGTAATGCTTCAATTCTGGTGTAAGATAGGGGATGGCAGAGGAACTTGTTAAAGTTGCTTTGATAGCAAATAAAATTCGACTGAGAAACAGAGCACTTACTATTTTTTTAAATGTTCTTTTCATCTCATGGGTATTTGAATTTCATGAATATGTAAAATGTAATGTTGCAAGGAGGGCAACTAAGAAAATAAGCTTGGTCAGGAGTAAAGGTTAAAATAAATTAAATGGTGAATTGAATATGTAAGAATTTTCTGCAATGCTGTGGGTTTATCTGTATCACACTTTAAAAATTAATCTCTAAGGTCTGAAGAATGCAGGGCATCATGTACTGCTTACTAGGAGATTTTTATGACTTAACTGAGCACTGCCCTTAATGATGTCCATAGTGCATCATTTGAAGCAATTATTGCAAATTAAACTTGGGCGTTTAAAAGAATGCAGGAGATATACTTGTTATTGTATTTCAGTCAGTACTACAGACCTGCAGAGAAGTGGTAGCTGTATCCTTCCAATTTCCCTCCTCATACAAGTGCGGAATAGGGAATGTGTGGGAAGGCAGACAGCACAATAGGCCAAGTGTCAGTGGAGTACTGCTTGAAATATTTTGTGGCTGCTGGTGGCCCTATCCTTTATCAAACATCTTTCACAGTAACTGTGAATTGGTGTAAAATGAAATTCAGATGCTGCTATTGTACAGTATCTTCATATAGTATTTGCTGCGTGAAGAGCATGGGTATTTGTATGGGTCTTTTAAATAGCCCCAGTGTTTCAGTCTGGTTTTTTTAAAAAAATAAAGTAGTTTTTTTCTCTAGCCTATTTCAAGGAGCTAATAATGGATAAGATCAGTAGAACATACAATGTTTTTGTTGAAGTGGCAACAGCTTTTGAATACTCCTTTGACCTTCAGACATTTGTATATGAATGTGGAGATGAGATCTGCTGAGAAATGACTTTATCTGAAAGCATCTTAAGCCAACATTGAGCCAGTTTGAAGTACTGTATACACCGTTACTGCAGACTAAATTCTTGCTTTTTAAATCAAGACCTGAATAGTTCTGTTTTGTTTTGATTTTTTTTTTTTGTTTCTTAATGGTGGCTACTACAGTGGCAGCTCATAGAAATAAAATGATAGCTTTATGGTGTTCAAAAGGTCTAAATGAGAGCCAAAGCAAGCTATGCTCTTATTGTCTTTATTCCAACCTCCCTAACCCCGGTAAAGATGAGACTAAGTTTTTAATGAGGAGTTTGCTGTGTAGAGATATAGACATGTATTGAGTCTAGATAGGCTTCGTTCTAAGTCTCTACCTGAGTGGCTGCTTCATCTTTGTTGAAAGTTTCAGTGTAGAAGCACTGTGATGTTGATAGCTATTGAGGATGCAGTAGACAGCTGCTCGTTTAGTGACAAAACCAAAAGCTTGTCAAACCATCAGCACATTAAAATTTCAACTTAGTAACTGGAAAGAAAATACTTCTTCCTTGATCTTTGTCATTTCAACTGTATATTCATACTAACGTTCTCCCACTGCTGTTTGCGGTTTTGATGTGCTTCTCTGTTTCCTGTTGGCCTTGCTATGTTCCTTGCACTCCCTCTCACTAAAAATATTTGAGGAGGCTTTACTTTTACGTTGTATGTCTTAATGCACTCTATCATAACTGTTGTCTTATCATTCATGTACATAAGTTTGTTGTCTTGAACTAACTGAAGTATTGACACTCTGGGGTGAGGAGTGTGTGTTTCAAATGTTCAGCTTGTGCATTTGCAACGCTCATTCATAAGGATTTTGTTTAGACTAATCTTTGTATGATAGTTCAAATGATTTTCCTGTTGTTTGAAACCAAGTTAAAATCTCAGGAAACGCAAATTCTTATAGTATGTTAGATGTTTTATCATGTTTTGTGGGTGAGACTCAATGACGTGTTGACTGCATGCAATATGATTCTGATAGATATCTGTACATTGAGTTAGAATTTGCTGCACTGGAGCCAAAAATTAAATACTGTTTCCGGCCTGATATAATTTCAGTGTTGCTTACAGTTTTGCGTTTGCTTTTTTTTTTTTTTCTTCAGTTAGGAAAGGCATGAAAGTGGTACAAGAAATTACAATTGATCTGTTATAAAAGGATAGCAGGCATATGGTAGTATGATTTCTTAGCCTGTTTATTCCATTTTATGAAAAGCCAGACCAGTGTGGCTTTGCATCAGATGGAGCACTCTGTTGATGTAGCATTCCCATGGAATATCAGCATTTTTTTCCAGTTCCTGTTATGATTCAGTTACAGCTCTTAGTAGAGCTTCTGCTGTTGGAGAATTGGTCCTGTGAGTTTTTGTGAACTCCAGGCAGTTCTCTAGATCTTTTTGTTGTGAAGGTTTACACAGGGCAAAGACCTAGGTCTCATGATTCAAGGCGGCTTTGGGGACTTTACTTGCTAACTTCCTCTTGAGTTTCTTCTACAGGAGAGAAGCATTTAGCCTCGTGGTTAAAACAGGAGTGGTATTGAGCCTTATTATGACAGGAGAATCTATTGTGTCGTATACCCCTATGTGTTTATTAGCAAGATGTAGCTTTTTGCCCTGTTGTGCTAAAATCATTGACTTTTGCTGTTTGTTTGTAGAAGCTATCAAATCACTTTACAGCAGGGGTTTCTGAAAGCCAGTATGAGAGATAGAAACTGATTTTACAGCATTATTTTGAAAGCATGTAACTGTGAAACCTGAAGTGTTTTCACTTAAAACCAATGCTAGGCCTGTGCCTAGGCCAATATAAGTATTCAAGAACTTTCCTAGATGAGTGCGGCATAGAACAATTTCTGCTATTTTTTGGAATTAGTACCTCACTCTAGGTTTAAATAATTTGGTTTACCTTATTGTGACTTAAATTACATTATGCTGAATTTAAGAGACGTATGTAGTAAAGAATTGTGTTCCAATGGTTCCAGGTTTACACTCTTTTTAGACTTCCTATGATGTGTAGCGGTAGTTCATAATTAAAAATGACATTTGCTTGTAGTTAATTCAATTTATTCCCTTATTGTAGTTTAAGGTATCTACGGACTTCAGGAACTAGTGGAAACATACTTCTGTTACGGATTTTTTAAAATTGGTTTGGGCTTTGTGCTTTGCCAGTGTAAAAGGGAGAGTGTTATCTTTACTGTTTTGTTGCAGTCCCTATAAACAAATGACATAAAGCAAGAGTTACTCCTGTTTTCAAGGTGTGCGCTGAACTCCACTGTTCTGAGTGAAAAGAAATTGTGCAATTTCAGCATGCGTTTATTGGATAACTTGTTTAATCAGTCCTGTAGCATACACCATATTCCCTTGAAGAAAAGAGAGTGAGGGTCTGTGTAATGCATAGTTTAGGGATTTGTTCTACTTTTTATTTTCCTAACCCAGGATGTATCATGGATGAAACAGGCCTCTTATGAAAAACAGAGTAATAGAGGACTTCAGATTACTGTAACTTAGTTTTCAGCGAAATGTTAGTGGAAATTTACACTGTAAAAGTGCACGATTACCTTTCTAATTCTCATAATCTGGACCAAGAAGAGGTTAGTCAAACTAAAATGTTGTAAATTGATTCTCTTTACTATGGTTGGATTTATAGCAGCATGCATGTGTAATTGCTATGATTAAATCTATTTCCTTCAGTTGTAAATTCATAATGGCTGCAGAGATTAGCTATAGGTTTTTGCTAGGAATTTTTTCACAATAACCAAAAATTGATGCTGTGGTCAGATTTTTAGATAGGCAAAAATGGTTTTGGCAAGAAGATGTTTTGGTCTTCATCTGAAATAAGAACAAAGAAAATAGCTGATTTGTTTTAGGTAAATAAATATCCCTAGGTGTTGTTTCTTTTGGCAATTGGTGATTGCACAGCATCTTTATGCAGTTTTCAACTTTAGTGAAAAGGATCTACTGTAAGTGACCTATTGAAACAGGAAGATGGGAGGGAAGGAAGAGACTGATGTCCTGCTTCAGACCTATATTAATGTGGTCAGGTTCTCTTTTTGACAAATTATGTAGCACTTTACCAAAAATACTTTTAAAACCAGAGTCTATTTTTGCTTGCCATTTATTACAGCTCTCATCCAAGAAGTATGGCATATCTTTTCGGATATGTGAAGTATTTGAGAAATACAACCTTGTTAGTGGGAAGATAAGTCACAGGTCGTTTTTAATATAAAAATTGTTGTAGGCGGTTCTTAATATCTGAAGCATAAGTAGAGAAGTAAGTGGACAGTGGCCAAGCAAGTGTTAAATATGTTTGACAATTTTGCTTTTTATTGCAAGATTTTTCACTGTGTCTGCTTTCAAAAGATACTATACTTTCAACCTACAAATAACTTTATGACATTGAGTACTGCAAGTTAGTCTTTAAGGATGCTAGCCTTAAATGTTAGTGATGATTTTGAGCCTGAAAATTACCTACTTAAGTATTCTTGTCCATCTAAGAATAGTAACATGTGTCTTTTTCTTACCCTTGTCATCTTTTAAGGTTTGATTATTCCCCTACACTGTCAAAATACACCTTTAGAAATGGATAGGGTAAGATAAATCGTCAGATAGCTTAGCTACACATGGTTGGTTAGGGCGATGGCACTCCATTTCATCTATTCCAGAAAGTGTAGCCTTGGGGTGGATAGATGACTCTTACTCTGACTTCTGCCTCTTGCATGGAGTATTTCTGGGATAAAATCAATACAAGGTATGATCAAAGAGCTCCTGCTTTGATCAGTCCTTGGTTTACTTACTTATATCATAATGACAATCTTAGTAGTCTATGAGGAGAATATGATCTACAAAGATGGTCTTAGCCTGCGCAGTGGTCTACAAAGAGCATACGATCCACTTGGTACTATTCTATTTAAGTTCCTCTGCATATCCTCAGCATAAGAGCCCTTGTGTGACTAGTACTCTGTGGCGAAATTAATATTCAAATGTAATGTTAAATTTCAGTCTGAGGAAAGAAGTCCAAATTTCTCATTGTTCATTTTATGTGCATCTGTTTCAGTGGTGTGCTCTGTATTGTTTATAAGCTGTATATGCAGATAAACATACAAAATTAACACAACCTAATTTTAATTCAGGTTGCTGCCTTGAAGTACATACCATCGGTTCTTCATGATGTTGAAATGGTCTTTGATGCCAAGTTACTGAGGTGAGATGCTTTTGAATATTTAGTAGATGTATCACATGGTGTCTACACTGTATCACTGAGGTCAATGCTGAGTTCTTGTTGATCCATTTAGGTCAACAAAGCTGTGCCAGTTTGTACTGCTCAAGACAGTGGTGGAACTCTGGGCATAATTTTTAACAGGGAGTTCTCATCAGACCTACATAATGACAGAATTCATTATGGCAGCCCAATATGTAAACAGGAACTTGGTGAATAAAATGAGCAGGTGGATCAATCTGTATTTTTTTTCTCTTCCTCTCTCCCTGCCCCTCCCTTGAATAAGGCCAGTTCCAGAAAACCAAATCTGATTTTAACAGTTTGAAATAAGTATTTGTATTTGTCAGACAAGGATAAATTGTCTCCACCACACACAAAAATATCTTTATTCAGCTGAAAACAGTGGAAAGTAATAAACATTTATAAATATGGCCAAAATCTAGTTCATCCTCATCTTGTTTCTCTTGAAATTTTTTTTTCTAATGTGCTACTGATCTCTTGTCAATGTTTGTGATATGGTGAATAAATCTAAGTCTTAAAAAGAAATAAAAGTTTAGAAACATATAATCTTTTGCTCTTTCTGTCTGTCTTTATTAACGTATGATGAATTAATCTCTACAGTATTTATAACACTTTTCCTTTACACGCAGCCAGCTACTATACGAATTTTACACTTGCATTCCACCAGTGAAACTACAGAAGCAGAAAGTGCAGTCCATGAAGGAAATAGTACGCAGCAACCTTTTTAAAAAACAAGGTAAATATAAAATGGCTTTAAGGCTTAAAATATATGTGTGAAAACATTGACTGACATATTTTGTGCAGTTCATGTTTGAAATTGAGTAAAACTAATACTGAGAGAGTGTGAATGCCAAAAGTCTGACCACTGGAGAGGATTCACATCTTTCTGCAAGACAGCTGTTGTGCAAAGCGCGATTGCTACCCTAGAACAAGCAACAGGTGGGTCTCAGAGGAACAGTTTTGTGTGTTATTCCTCTGATACAATGTTTAGATGGATGGAGCTATATATACCCTTTCAACCCATTTGTAAGCTCTATGGGGGAATAAGAACATGAAGTGAAACCTTGTGAGGACAGCTTATGTTATGTAAGACCTTTACCTGGGTGGAGGAAAAAAGGTCTGATTGTGTTGTAGTATAGCTCAGCTGCAATGTAGGATCTCCATTTGTAAGAATTACCAAGTTTCTTAACCTTTACCAGAACTTAGTGTCTTTCTCCGCTCTCAGAATAGGAGTGATAAGTGGCACTGAAATACCTTTATCGGCCTGGTGCTTAGTTTTCCTTCATTATCACAAAAAGGGAATTTTTGTGGAAGGAGTCCTAGCAGCGAAGCCCAGTTTTAAGTGGTTGACTTCTTTGCTGTTAACTGTTCTGTCTCCTGTCTTGTGGACCGGATGGCTTGCTTCTCTTTCAGCATCTTACTGCTGTGTAGAAGACCTCCAGAACTTTGAAAGGCACGCAAGCTACTCAGATAGATGTCCATTTTGTCAGAATTACAGTTTCTGGCAATTTATAGATAATTCTAGGAACTTGACAGTATAGCAGTGGGTAACAAATAGTACTGAGCATGAGGAGAGAGCGAGCGAGGATTACTCTGCTCATCTCATTCTTCTGTGTTGCCAGGAGAACGATGCAGTTCCAACTAGCTAGGGCGGATAAAATTTCAACGTTGAGACCTGTGTTGCATTCTGTTGAGACTGAAATGCCTATTGTAAGCTATAACGATAATTAGCTGTGTCTGTTGTGTTCTAAGACCATTATAGATTTCCTGGACAAAATCAAGAAAATAAAATAGTTGATTTTATTGTTTAGTTTAAATTAGATAGTATTTTAACCTATATTTATGTTAATTTCATGGTCATCAGCTGTGATTTTTTTTTTTCTTTTTAAACTAAGTGTAAAGCTCAAGGTTGCTTGAATCAGTGGATCTTAAGTAGCTATAGCTTGGGTATCTGCAGACACTGATCCAAACTATTAAGAGCAGATCCCCTAGCTAATTTTCAAACATATCTAATTCTGTATTCACAATTTTTTCTGGTAGTTTACTGTATTCCTATTTTACAAGTAGTCTGATATATCCTTACATTACCAGTTGCTTTTACTGCTGCAGCTTCTAGGATGAGAAGTGCCAGTCTTAGTTTTATCTCTACTTCTTGTGGTGAGTAGCATTTAGACCAGACAGAAGAATGTCCCCTCACCAAACTGAAAGACTCTTGGGTTAAAATAAGGCCCTCTTGATCTTTCTAGAACTCAGTCAGCTACCTTGACTGTGTTTTATACTGAGAAATTAAGTGTAAGGTATAAACTTTCTTTGGTGTATGTATGCATTAGTAAGAATCTTCTGTGCAACCTGTAGGTATATAAGATACCAGCCTAAACTCTCAGGGTTATCAAAGTTTTGGTTCATCTCCAGTAAACCCACTGCTTTGCCATCTGCAAGAACAGTTAGAGACTTAAAGCAGCTGGGTAATTCTAGTTCTAATAATACTAAGGATATTACTTATTTTAATCTGCCTTTTGCTCACTTTTATGCTTTTAGTGTGATACATTAGCCTCCAGTCAAATACTAAATTTTCTGGAAGAAAAACTCAACTTTTTATCATTTTGTCTCAGAATTTTAGAAGACAGAGAATAAGAGCAGGCACTGCTGTGGAATAACAATGGTTTGATAATTTTTCTTTGAAGAAACTTGTCTTACTGAAATACATTTGTTATTGGTTCATGTATCGGCAGAGTTGGTCAAGACAACAGATCCCATGCTTGAATAATAAGGAATAAAGCCATAATAAAGATCCAGAAGGAAAATAGTTGAGCATACAATAACCTGCATGCTTCATGGCTCTATTGACTTGCATCTCACTCCTTTTACTGTACCTCCCACAGCTCCTTTCTTCCCAATCTGTGTATGCTCCAGAAAAGAGAGTGGGTTTTTGGATTCCAAAGAAACTACCATTATAGTCTGCTTAGTGTGGTGCTTGTTTCGTGTGTTTAACAGGCCTTTGATTTAGCTATGGTCTGTTAATGCAAAATGTTCTGTAAAGCTTTTACTGCTTGCGGATAAATAATAATAATAGATTCCTGCTTGCTTGTAAATGCAGCTTGTCTGATGTCTTGAAATATATAGCTGGTATATGATGGAAAATGTCTACGTCAGAATATGTTGTGAACTATAAAAAGGGTCTATGTTTTCAGTTTCTATATTTTTAAGGTAATGATGAATAAGAAATTTTGCTAAGATGATTTCTAATTCTGAGGAGTTTTATAAAAACAGTAAATGGTGCTTTTTGTGTACTGCTGACCAGATTATCAATATATTTTAATTTTTCCCAGACAGATGGGTAGTGGATTAATTTAGTCTTAAATTTATAAATTAAAAAAATAAATAATGTCCAAGATCTCTCAGCTATTTTTTGCTAACATCAAACGCTTGACAGCAAAACCAAGCAGCTTAGACCATAAATGCATCATATAGTACTTAAACCATTTGCCAGTTTGGCTGCTTTGCACTGGATCCTATGTATCTGAATAGGTCATTGTGATCCAAACTTGCACTGGTAATTGAGAATTAAAGTGTATGCCTTTGATAATATGTAGAGATTAACAGCTTGTTTATATGCTTATGGTGATTACGTATGCAGGATCTACCTTAAAATGTTGTTACTGTAATACTTGGTATATGATTGTATAATAATACTTAGATGCTGTAGTTTGTTGTTTTTAGAGGAGCCTCAGGAAATAGGTTGTTTGTTTTTTTTTTAATAATTAGTTTAAAACAAGAGACAGTCCTCTGAAGAAGCAGTTGCCCAAAATAGAGAAATCAAGTTGACGTCATTTAAAAATAAAGCTATAATATGTCCCGTTTGTTTTAGCTTTATCATGATATCTTGCTAACTACAGAATATTTGTATAAAGATTTTGTACTTCAGTTTTTTTATGAAATGAAAGAATAGAACTGCTTCTTGCTGTTATTGTAGAGTTTAAAATTTGTACATACCCAAACCTGACAATTCCCCCCCACTTTTTTCTTTTTTTTTTCTTGGGGGGGGCATGAAGTGAGGCAGGCATACCTTTTCACCAGCCTCAGTGCAATCCAGTCAGGGTCAAATAGAGTCTTGCAAGTATGTTTTCCTTTTCAGAGATCATTTCATAATGAAATTGTCATTCATCTAACACTTAGTATGGCCAGCTAAGAATGTTACTTTTGCCTCATTGGCATTATCTGAGTATCTGTTGGGGCATTTAGTCTTGGATTTTCTGTTTTGGCTGATGATCTTTATAACTTTCCTTTCACCCAATCTACCCCTGCATTACTAGTGGCAGAAAATCAACCTTGGAATAATTGCAGGGTGTTTTATATCTAACTGATTTTTTTTATGATTATTTGCATTTATGTTTTGGTTTTGTATTGCTTGGATTTAACCTTCAAGTTGTAATTACCATAAGGGAGAGTCCACGACATGTTTAAGTGCAGTCACTGAAGGCTGTGAAAAGACCAATACACAATTAAGTATCTCTGATACTATAGTAGTATGAACGTTTCTGTACTGTTCTATTGTAGTATGGTGCACAGTAAATACCAAACAAGTCCTTTTTCTTGCACATTGCCATGGTTTAAAATAGAAAATTCCAAAGGTGCTTTTTTGCTCTACATTAAATACAATTGATTCTAAAATTAATTGGGTGGAGAGCCAACTGTGTTCATAGGGTGTAGACAATGCCTGATTCATTACTCCCAAGCAATGAGGTGGAAGGTAATTTGCAAGAATGAAAGCATATGTAGTGTATCACAAAATAGGATGCAGCTTGATAATTAAGGTAAGATTGCCAACAATATCATTAACTAAAGTTCACATTTATCTAGAACAAGTAGTATTTTTTTTCTGCCATGAATATTGAATATATTTAACTACATTGCTAATTACAATAAAGTCTGTTAATTTGTGTGTGTTTCAAATTATCTGTTTTTCCTCCAGGCTTTAGTATTTAGTCTCTTTCCTTGTAGTTCATTCTAGTTCCAGTTCAATTCATTTACTTCCATTCCCAATGGTCTTGTCTTTATAATTAATGTATTTCATATATTGGTATTTCTTTTCCTTTACCCATTAATATTAACATCATTTTCTAAGGAAGTAGACTTGTGAAAATGTGAAAATGTGTTTTCAAAAGATTAAAAAAAAAAAAACAGTGAAATTTGTTTTTGTTAAGTTACACATGAACCTCAAGTTGGAAGCCCTTGAGGTTAATTTATTGGTATGTGTTCCCAGACATTCAAAAGTTTTCACTGCAGATTGTCATGGAATAGAGTGCTTTAGTCAGATAGGATGCACTGTCCTGTTGACTGCTACTGTAATTGATCTTCAAAAGCCTCACAGCACTACAGCACTTTTACAAGCCTTTAAATTACATTGACAAATTTAAATTTTTTTAAATT